ATGCCACTCCTCCACCCCCCCTGTTCTCTCTGTCTTTCCTCAGGATTTGGTATCCCGTTGGAAAGATGGCATCTGTTATCATACCTGTAAGCTTGGTTTCTGTGAGAGCTATGATGTCCGGTGATGCCTCTTTGACTCTTTCATGCCACTCCTCCCACTTATTTGTTATTCCATCAGCGTTTGTGTACCATACCTTCAGTTTCCTTTCCAACACTGTGGTTTGGGGGGCCTGTGAGGGTGGGAGACCTGGTAGAATACTGTGGGATTCTATAGCTCGGTGTTGGGTGGAGGCTGTGGGTATGGATTGTAGTGTGTGTTGGGATGGTGTGATAGGTTGTATGGTTCTGAGAATAGTTGTGTGTGTGCTTGCCCTTGCTGTTCTGTTCTGCTCTGACTGACCTCTGCTGGCTCCATCCTTGTCTCTTTTCCTAGCTCCTTTCGCTTTTTTGTCCTCTCCCTCAGCTGCTGTCGTTCTGATTGTGTTCTGTCTCTGTCTAGGAACACCTTCTTGTACTCTTCCGAGTATTTCAACCGTGGTTTCTCTTGGAGGATCCTGTTCCGCACTGTTTCCGTCCTGAGAATCAGCTTGATTGGTCGGTTTCTCCCCTTCGAGTACCCCCCTATTCTCTGAAAATTTACAATCTCGTCCATCTCTTCACCTATTTCCGTGATGATTTTCTCAATCTCCTTTCTTTCTTCCTGCTGCCTTTCAGTGTGTGTCCTTTCCTCTCTCTCCTGAAGCCCATGGATAAACACTGATTTTGCCCTTTCCTCCTCCCATTGCCTCACCCTCTGTGACTCTGGATCCTGCCTGTATGTGGTCAGTTTCTCCCTTGATTTTTCCAGTGGCTCTTGATAGCATGGTTGTGCCTCAGCATTCGACCTATCACCTTCTCCATCTGCACTCAGCTGTTCTTCCCTTTCACTCCTTGGCCCTCCTTGGCAGGCTGATATGACCTTAGCATAATTCATAATTCCTTCCTTCCTGTTCGGCCTCGCAGCTCATATGCTGTCTTCTCTGGTCACTGCCCCTGTAACTCGCTTCAGCCTATTTATCTCAACTTCTGTGTGTGTGTGTGTGTGTGTGTGTGTGTGTGTGTGTGTGTGTGTGTGTGTGTGTGTGTGTGTGTGTGTGTGTGTGTGTGTGTGCGTGTGTGTGTATGCGTTCTAAAATTAATGTAACTTTTCGTTATTTTTGTACTTATGCACATGTTTAATAAACATTTTGTCCCTCATTACATTTGCTCGCAATTAAAAACTGAGGGTTAACACAAGATTTAAGCAAGACTAACTTCCACAAAATTGCTAAAATATCAACCAACAATAAAACCACCTCACATCACACATCAGTTTCAAGAACAAGGGTGACATGACGCAAATAGAGAGTGGAGAACCACGGACGCTTAGTGTCCGTATCATGACCCAGTACAGCGAATATAATTTTGCAGCAACAGCCCCCAGCTGGCCTGTTGCTGGGGAAACGTCTGGTATAGACGGAGAGTCAACATGTGGGGGACTCTATGAGCAACTTGAACCGTCTCCTGGCAGTCTGCTCAAAGGAGCCGCCAATCCACACACACACACACACACACACACACACACACACACACCAGTGAAGGGCTTTCTAGGTCAGGATGGGTGAAGAGCGCTGCAGAAATTGGTTAGGGAAACTCGCTTGAGATCTGCAGTAGAGTGATGGCAGCATGTCGTGATTGTCCCTGTTATCTCGGTGTCATGGCTCCCTTCTCTCTCTCTCTCTCTCTCTCTCTCTCTCTCTCTCTGACACACACCCTCTCTCCCTCTCGCAATAATAATTCCAATAGCTAATTTATTACCACATTTAATGTTCACCTCCACTGCTCGGACCACTTTCCGTGGTCAGGTGACGTGTGTTCGTGGCGACCATTGACTTATTCCTTGTTCATTCCAGCTGAAAAGCCTTTTAGCATGAGTTTAAAGTCTGTCGAATACACGAGTGTCATTAAGGCTACGTGTCTCCTGTAAACCACCAAATATATATATATATATTATATTATATATATTATATATATATATATATATATATATATATATATATATATATATATATATATATATATATATATATATATATTATATATTATAATATATATATATATATATATATATATATATATATATTTTATTTTTATTTTATTATCACACTGGCCGATTCCCACCAAGGCAGGGTGGCCCGAAAAAGAAAAACTTTCACCATCATTCACTCCATCACTGTCTTGCCAGAAGGGTGCTTTACACTACAGTTTTTAAACTACAACATTAACACCCTCCTTCAGAGTGCAGGCACTGTACTTCCCATCTCCAGGACTCAAGTCCGGCCTGCCGGTTTCCCTGAACCCCTTCATAAATGTTACTTTGCTCACACTCCAACAGCACGTCAAGTATTAAAAACCATTTGTCTCCATTCACTCCTATCAAACACGCTCACGCATGCCTGCTGGAAGTCCAAGCCCCTCGCACACAAAACCTCCTTTACCCCCTCCCTCCAACCTTTCCTAGGCCGACCCCTACCCCGCCTTCCTTCCACTACAGACTGATACACTCTTGAAGTTATTCTGTTTCGCTCCATTCTCTCCCACATGTCCGAACCACCTCAAACAACCCTTCCTCAGCCCTCTGGACAACAGTTTTGGTAATCCCGCACCTCTCCTAACTTCCAAACTACGAATTCTCTGCATTATATTCACACCACACATTGCTCTCAGACATGACATCTCCACTGCCTCCAGCCTTCTCCTCGCTGCAACATTCATCACCCATGCTTCACACCCATATAAGAGCGTTGGTAAAACTATATATACTCTCATACATTCCCTCTTTGCCTCCAAGGACAAAGTTCTTTGTCTCCACAGACTCCTAAGTGCACCACTCACCCTTTTCTCCCTCATCAATTCTATGATTCACCTCATCTTTCATAGACTCATCCGCTGACACGTCCACTCCCAAATATCTGAATATCATTCACCTCCATACTCTCTCCCTCCAATCTGATATCCAATCTTTCATCACCTAATATTTTTGTTATCCTCATAACCTTACTCTTTCCTGTATTCACTTTCAATTTTCTTCTTTTGCACACCCTACCAAATTCATCCACCAATCTCTGCAACTTCTCTTCAGAATCTCCCAAGAGCACAGTGTCATCAGCAAAGAGCAACTGTGACAACTCCCACTTTATGTGTGATTCTTTATCTTTTAACTCCACGCCTCTTGCCAAGACCCTCGCATTTACTTCTCTTACAACCCCATCTATAAATATATTAAACAACCACGGTGACATCACACATCCTTGTCTAAGGCCTACTTTTACTGGGAAATAATTTCCCTCTTTCCTACATACTCTAACTTGAGCCTCACTATCCTCGTAAAAACTCTTCACTGCTTTCAGTAACCTACCTCCTACACCATACACCTGCAACATCTGCCACATTGACCCCCTATCCACCCTGTCATACGCCTTTTCCAAATCCATAAATGCCACAAAGACCTCTTTAGCCCTATCTAAATATTGTTCACCTATATGTTTCACTGTAAACACCTGGTCCACACACCCCCTACCTTTCCTAAAGCCTCCTTGTTCATCTGCTATCCTATTCTCCGTCTTACTCTTAATTCTTTCAATAATAACTCTACCATACACTTTGCCAAGTATACTCAACAGACTTATCCCCCTATAATTTTTGCACTCTCTTTTATCCGCTTTGCTTTTATACAAAGGATCTATGCATGCTCTCTGCCAATCCCTAGGTACCTTACCCTCTTCCATACATTTATTAAATAATTGCACTAACCACTCCAAAACTATATCCCCACCTGCTTTTAACATTTCTATCTTTATCCCATCAATCCCGGCTGCCTTACCCCGTTTCATTTTACCTACTGCCTCACGAACTTCCCCCACACTCACAACTGGCTCTTCCTCACTCCTACAAGATGTTATTCCTCCTTGTGCTATACACGAAATCACAGCTTCCCTATCTTCATCAACATTTAACAATTCCTCAAAATATTTCCCTCCATCTTCCCAATATATATATATATATATATATATATATATATATTATATATAAATATATATATATATATATATATATATATATATATATAATACAATTATATATATATATATATGAAATTAAAGAATGAAAATACGTGGGTGTTTCCACGTTTTCAAAGACAGTTTTTCCCTGAAGAAATGACTGAGAAGACACGAAATTGCAAAGGTATTTCCATTGTTTTATTTTTTTCGCTGTGGCATTGTATATTACTTTCACGCTTGATTGATTCCTTACACTTATTATATTTGCGTGTAAAGGGGAGAAAATCTCACCAGTGTAAATCCCTTCTCCAGTTAATATCCCTTGTAGCGTGCCACTGAGATGGGAAGAAATGGCGGCGGAAGAATGTAAACACGCCAACCCCTCATCCCTCTCTCCCTTCATTCTCTCTCTATCATCATTTCTGTTTCCTCATCGCTTTCTCTCCTCAACTCACCCTTTCCTTTCATCTCTCTCCTAGAATGAGAAACATATGCAACGCTTGGGTTTATTCTGAATACGTGTATAGCTAGTCAGTGACTTTTTTTAATTTAACACAGATATTACATACTTAAACTGTGAAATATAGAGGTATTCAGTCTCTAAATTTGGATTGGAGACGCAGAAGTGCAAGCCACTGGATAGCGAAGCGTCTTCACTATCAATATACCCACATCACGTTGTCTGTGTTATATACCACTGTAATGATACCCTCTTTCACCTCTGTCTTTATCTCTCGCTTATCTTGTATCTTTATCGGCGTACAGTGTTTTATTGTTATCTGCTTAGATGCGTAATTCACCCGTGTGAGTCATTCAGTATGAGTGTTGAAGACGCCATTTTCAGAACCAGTCTTCGTAGCTATTAGCTACGCTTACCTAACAGTTTTACCCAGTCTATTAACCAGCCTGTTCGCTCCGGCAGGTACTCGCTGGTGCGGGAGTCCGGAGACAGATGGCACCGCTGGCAGCTGGTGATACGACGGACGCGCATCGAGGACCAAGGCCAGTATAGGTGCCAGGTGGCCACCCAGCCTCCCATGGTGTTGGTGGTGACCCTCAACGTCACAGGTGAAGGTTCATGGTGTGATTACGGGGGTATGATCCTCCTCGTGGTGTGGAGTAATGTTATTGTTGCTACTATAGTACCTAGAATAGTTGCATTCAACAGTGTTACGTAGCCTTTAGAGGAACTGCAATCTTGCTGTTATCTGGCTGTGTTCCTATCGGTGCAAAGACTGTCATGGTGTAATTATTGATAGTATGAAAACTAAAGTAAGTGTATTCTTAATGATAAGTAATCACTGTATTGCTCATGGTGATATGAAGCTATGATTCACTGCTTACCTAACGACTGGAGATGAAATTTGACGACGTTTTGGTCCCAGGACGGACCGAAACGTTGTATAAATTCATTTCTAATTTCTGGAACAGACGTGAATTGTTTTAAACATTGTATTGTAACCTTTTTTCCCAGAGTCTTGATGTTCTTAGTGAATTTATGTAATTAATTATGATACGGTTATTGTTTCTTATATTATGAAAAATATACAAAATGTATTTTGCTCCCACGAGAAGTGGATGTAATAACAGTGGAATTTAGAGAGATTTTTTTACATGGAATTTGTTACCATGAATATGGTGTTGGGGGAGCACATTATCATCAATATTGTCATCAATGTGGTGTTAAGGAGCATGTTACCATCAATATTGTCATCAATATGGTGTTAAGGGAGCATGTTACCATCAATATTGTCATCAATATGGTGTTAAGGGAGCATGTTACCATCAATATTGTCATCAATATGGTGTTAAGGGAGCATGTTACCATTAATATTGTCATCAATATGGTGTTAAGGGAGCATGTTACCATCAATATTGTATCAATATGGTGTTAAGGGAGCATGTTACCATTAATATTGTCATCAATATGGTGTTAAGGGAGCATGTTACCATCAATATTGTCATCAATATGGTGTTAAGGAAGCATGTTATCATTAATATGGCGTTAAGGAAGAATGTTACCATCAATATTGTCATCAATATGTCTTGTAAAGTTAATAAAGTCATCATAGTGATTGATCTGTCCACTGATTTTTTCTGACATCAAATCCGGGAAAGGTGTTCAGAGATGTTCCCTGTCACAACACTGGGTCCACAAGCATGTGAAATTTTTCAGGAAAATTTTGCATCAATATCTTCACTGCTCTAACTTTTCCGAATATTTAGAACTAAAAAAACGATGCAGTTTGCAAGATAGATGGGTTAGTTTAATGAATGTTTTCAGCTTCAAGGGCAAATTTTAGAAAGGCAATGTAATGAAGCAATTTTGTTTTCGGTCATGTGTCGATGCAAAGTAGATTTGTATTTAAGGTTTACAAGTTGATAAGGAATTATACACTTATGTTATCTCCCTTGAGGAGCCATTGTTTAGGCTTAGTGATCAATACCTCTTCCAACCCTGAGCACCCTTTGATTTAAACCCCATTCATTCCGTTGTCTGTTTACAGTTGTGTTATTACGATTCTGTGAGTCTTGAGTATTCATACGTATTGAATTTTATCATCTGTCTGACTTGAAAATAAATCCTCCACACACAGAGCGAAACGTTGCCTCAATAAAGGTACATTTTACGTTCGTTTCCCACATACCAGTAGGGGTTACGACCTCCACACATTTTGTCCAAGTAAATTGACAAGGGTGATGCCGCTCAGTAATTAGCAAACGATTTGCATAGTCGCATGAGTTTAAATCGTACTGCAGTTGGTATTCTCCTAAAGCCGAATTTGTGTACGTACAGCAGACAACGGATAATTTTGCCGAGAGATCCTGAAATGGTCCAGAAAAAGATTGTATATATATATATATATATATATATATATGGGCCAGCTGGAGTGTCAAGTTCTTACATGGACCACTACATCAATTTCCGTTTGATAATGACCGCTGCATCATCGTCTCTAAGATACACGTTTCTCCATCAATATCCATTGGTGCACAACAGGAATGCCTGTTTAGGGGCCCCCACATCAATTTGTTGATGATGTGAGCCACTCCATCAATCTTCGATTTGAACCTCGGTAAGATAAATTAGACACTTGTGTGACACAAGGAAAACGTTTCGCCTCACAGTGGCATCATCAGTCCATTACAAAGAAGAATGGTGAAGATCAGAATGACTGATGAAGTCACTGTACGGCGAAACGTTTCCACAATAAACGTACCCATGGCACATATGTCTAATTTATCTTACCGAGGTTCTCTGAACCATTAATCTATGAACTCTGTCATCAATCTGCCCTACATCAGTAGTTGTTAACTCCTAGTAACGATCGATTCAGTAGCTAGGAATATTTTGCTAATAAAATATATATTTTATAATAGAGGAGTGTCATCAACACTATGAGAGATTTATTCTATACAATTATCGAAATTTATCGGGTATAAATAACGAATATTACTTTTGCCAATAACAAAACATTGGACTTCTGTCTATAATATACGCCTATGATATGCTACTTTCAATTATTATTATTATTATTATTATTATTATTATTATTATTATTATTATTATATTCGTTATATTTATAATCGCTAGATCTCTAAGAGAAACGTAAAGAAATCAGGTTTGATTCGAGGAATGGGTGAGTAGCTCCACATCACTAGGATGAAAGACTCCCCCTTCAAGAGGATCCTGTAAAAATAGGAGAATCATGTGACAAATTGGTTGGGGGTCATCGCCCCCGCGGCTGCTCTCAGACCATGTCTCATAAAATGGAAAAGAAATATTGCAGTTATATGAACTAATAAGAAGCATGACTCACGAAATCGTAATGACACGATTGCAAACAAGCCATACCACGGGCGGGATTTGAACCCACGGTCAGAGAGTCTCAAAACTCCAGACCGTCGCGTTAGCCACTGGAGTTTTGAGACTCTCTGACCGCGGGTTCAAATCCCGCCCGTAGTACAGTTTGTTTGCAATCGTGTCATTACGATTTCGTGAGTCATGTTGACGGCAGTGAGGGGACTTGAGCTAGAGTTCGTCACGGCCACGCTAGCTGGAGATTCGTCTGTTAAAACTTGCATTTGTGGTCACAGTGGTGCCTGTGCTAACCTTCCTATGGTGTAGAAATATACCTAGTTGGACGAATCTTATTGTGGCTAACGCGACGGTCTGGAGTTTTGAGACTCTCTGATCGCGGGTTCAAATCCCGCCCGTGGTATGGTTTATTTTTAATAAGAAGCACTCAGGAAAATATGTGTGTGTGTGTGTGTGTGTGTGTGTGTGTGTGTGTGTTTTGCATCCTACCTGATTACCTCCCATTCCCCTTGCTGTACACGACCCCTACAGGAGTACCACTCCCCCACAAAGACATATCCATGTTGGGTTATTACTGCTCGCAGTCTGAGTCCAGGTACTTGGCTGGAAATCCTGTTAATCTTCATTAAAGTTAATAACATCTGTCCCAAGTTTCTGATTACTTATCCCGAGTTCCGGCTAATAATCTCGCGTAATGGCATTTAAGACTCGAGATACGAGCGCAGAATTAGAAACACTGGTCGAGATGTTAATATTGCCGGTACGAAAGAAATTTTGCAAATTTGCTAACTCATAGAGAGATGAAATGGTTCTTGACTGGTCTCATTAAGACGAGGGGTTCGACTCTTTGCTCAGTCACTGGGTTGGTATCTAATACAACACAGGATATATACCCCGAGAGGGGAATATATCCTGTGTGCATATATGCTGAGAGTTTAGGGAATAAAGTCTTTTTATCAAGCGAAGAAAGGTTGCCCTGCCGCCCTTATAACCCTCGTGTAGTCGATAGGCTTTCAACTCCAATTAACCAATAAACCTTGACATAATAAATGGTTTAAAAAAGAAGACGTGAGCAAGCACTAATAAATATTTAATAGAACACGTTTTGGTCCTGCGATGTTGACCACTTCTGAGTGATCAAGTAGCCTAGGGCCTAAACACATTTCAATAAACATAACTACGGTACTCTTCGCCAAAACTGAGGGACTGATTACCTGGTCTTTTGTATATAGTTCTACTGTCTTTCCCATAATGTCATTGAAATTACATTCATAAAGCCACTGGATGGCGAAACGTCAACAATAAAGATACCCAGATGTTTCACACTTGTCTAATTCTTCATCACAAGAGACGAACCACTCATGGTGAGATGTTTCATTTTACGAAATTCCCTAAAGTGTACACAAGTGTAATCATCCACAGCTTGTGGGCATAACCATAATATTTACAACCTTGTCAGTGTTGCTTTAATCCTGTTCTTTATTGTATTTGCGTAGTTAATAAATGGCAGTTGCAGGAAGTGCCAGAAATGGAAAACGAGTTGGAGACTTCTTGGGAAAACTTTTATAATGACTATTTCCACATTGTTTTTAGTTCTTTGTCCAATTCAAGAGATTTAAAAAGCCACTGGCTACTTCCTGGTGATTAATGATATGCTGGAGGAATTCTATATAATGCACACACAGCTCAAGAGTCAAGAAAATTATTATTATTGTTATAATTATTATTATTATTACAACCAATATTATTATTATTACTACCACCATTATTATTATTATTATTAATATTATTATTATTATTATTACCATTATTATTATTATTTGACCAAAGGAAGAAGAGACCTCAGGCACCTTGCACCAAGAGCCCTTCACGTAACCCGAGGCAGGCAAGGGGCAAAGGTGGTTGTAAAATATATCCACAATCTATAACATGTGGGAACCAGAGAAGTCCAATAAAGAGGGCATAGAACTCGAGAATAAAGTGCTGGACATTAGCGTAAGAGACGAGGATCAACAGAGGCTCAAGAAAAAGATCCCGATGATTTACTCGAGAGAGAGAAAAATGAAGAAAAATAAAGAATAAGAGAGTTGAAAAACAGAAATGAATGAGTTTCAGCTGAAATAAAGAAATTTGCAGATAAGAATTATTATTATTATTATTATTATTATTATTATTATTATTATTATTATTATTATTCACTTAACAGTTAAAACGAGGTTTTAAAGAATAACGCCCAAGATATATACAG